ATTTGGGTATATCTTTTTTATTAGAAGAGATACATGAAACAACTTCAGCTATAAAACATTCGTCTTAAAGAGTTTTAAAGATCTAAAAGTTATCTAAAGACACCTTTGCTGAGAAATTCTAAATAAGAAAACTAGAGCAAAAAAACTGTTTTTTTAAGAGCCACCCTAACTCAATTCAAGAAAATAGCTCTAAATCGGCCAATTTAAGAGATACAAAAAAAGTTATTTGCAACAAAGTTGCTTGAAATTAGCTCAGCTATAACTTCGCAGAAGAATGTATACCTTAATTTATTCAAACAAAAAATTTAGATTTTTGATTTTAATGATAATAGGAACCACCCTAGAATTCATTGTCATAAAAATAAGGGCCTAACTATAAGGAACAACTTTGTAGAAGAGACTTTTAGTCTAATGTTTCAATTTCAGGCTCAAAACATATCATTCCACCTAAATCTGCATTCTGGACCACTGTGCAATGCTACTTGGGATGTCAGTTCCATCTGGGGATAGGAGACCTTAGAGAAACCACCTACAAGAAGGTCATCAAAAGCCAAAAAGGAATGTGTATATTAGTTAGGTAAGTTACTTCATCATCAAAGGTAAGTCACCTTATATACTTTCACAAAATGATAGCATATGCATATAAAACATTATATAATTATATGAACCAGGCATGGAAACTCATTTGCATTCATTTCATACATTCATTTACATTCATTTGCCGCTTACTTTTTTCATCAACAGCATTCCGCAAAATGCTGTAAAAAGCTTTTGTAGGTTTTATTATTAACTACAACTTTTGCTCATAACTCAAATCTGTATCTCTTATGCATCACGAACTAGAGTGGGCAGAACTTGTTACTGTTCTTCAGTGAATGTAAAATACATTCCCTGAAAAACAGTAGTGGCTTCGGTTCGCTCTGGTTCGTCATGCAAAAGAGAAATGGATTTGACTTGTTAGCAAATGTTGTAGCTAATAACAAAACCTACAAAAACTCTATATACATCATTTTGCGGAAAGCTGTTGAAAAAAAAAAGTTAGAGGCAAATGATTGTAAATGAATGCACGAAATGAATGCAAATGATTTGCCATGCCTGATATGAACCAATAAATGATTGTAAGGGGAGTGACCACCAGACCACCCAATTTGAAGCGAATTTTATGGGGAGAGTGAAATTGTCAACTTCCTGTTGTTAACATCTCGTGGAAAAAGGGCAGTCTCTTTTCCACACTCATTGGGGTATCCTTCCGTTGGACGGTCCGTTTTTTGACCAATTGTATGATCATGTGGCTGGAAGGCGATTTTCCATCATCCCGTGGAGGCGTAAAGGTGAATTACCTATCGATCCACCAAAACCGTTGTTGGCCCTTCATACAATGACATGTTGAGGACAATCAGAGGTAATTAAGCTTGATCAAGGTGCGCCCACTGCTATCGGACTTAGTTTCCGTGCTACAATGAGTGGTAGACAATTATCATACATCATACATCATACATGTTTAACTGTCGATCGGAAGCAAGTGAGTTCATGAAAAAGTGTTCCGGACTGCGTTGAAGATCAAAAACGAGTGGTTGCTGCCTTCAACCGTAAACCCAACTATTTTGTTCGGGATGTCGCGAAAAAACTGCACCTGATAAAAAGTTTCGTGCAGAAAGCCAAGAAACGAGCAGGACTACACACTAATCGAGTCAGTACGGTTTTACCGAGTTTTTGAATTGCGGAACTGTTCGGTAAAAGTTTAAAAATCTGTGGAAAATTTATTAATGAGAAAATTTGTTCTGAACTTGTACATACTTAGTTCTGTTAACCCCATTTAATGATAGAAAATAGAATTGGTCGATTTCATTGATTCCATACGGATAACGGTCATGTTTAAATCATGGTTGAATGCAAAGCGACGCCAGTGATGTAGTGGTAAGCGTGATTACCTCTCGCCAGCAGGCCTGGGTTCAATCCCAGTCGGCACCGCCGGGATGTTCTGAGGCATAACATCTCTGGTCACGCCTTCCTTCGGAAGGGAAGTAAAGCCGTTGGTCCCCTGTTCATCTGGACTCCCCGGAACGTCTCTGGAGTCCCTTGAAATTCTCTGAAATTATGTGATTTTCTCTGAAAATACTTGAGCATCTCTAAAGGTTCATAAACTTCTCTGAAAATTTCTGAGCTTCACTGAAATTTCGTTAACGTCTCGGAGGAACCGTGAGCTTCTTTGAAGATCCTTGAGCGTCTTTAAAGTTCCTTGAGCTTCTTTCAATTTTTGTGAGATTTCCTGCAATTCACTGAACTGTTCTGAATTTTCCTAAACATTTCGGTAGTTTCGTTTGCTTGTCGGAAGCTCCGTAAACATGTCGGAATTTCCGAAAACTTTGTTAGAAAATCAGTGAACTTGTTAGAAGTACCGTGAAATTCTCTGAAGAGGAGCCGTTCAGAGAACTTCGGATAAGAAATTCAGAGAAGAGAACTTCTGACGAGAAGCTCAAAAGAATTCCGAGGACAACTTAAGAGAACTTCCTACGGGAAATTCAGGGAACTTCCGATGAGAAGTTCTGACAATTTTCAACGAGAAGTTTTCAGAGAACTACTGACAAAAAGTTCAGAGAACTGCCAACAAGAAGTTCAGATAACTTCCGACGAGATGTTCAGAGACATTCCAACAAGAAGTTCAGATGACTTCCGAGCAGAAGTTCATAGACACCGGCGCCTGTGGTATAGTGCCTCTCACCCCAGCAGGTCTGGGTTCAATCCCATTCGGTGCCGCCGGGATGTTCTGAGGCATAACATCTCTGATCACTTCGGAAGGGAAGTAAAGCCGTTGGTCCCCGGTTCATGAGTTGATGGGTCGATAGGTTAGGATTCAGGTGTGGGAGCTGCCTTCCTGGCTTCGGTAGCATTGGTGCTCAGCACGGAAAACAAGATCGACGAAAAACAAATCAAGGAAAAAATTGGTTGAATGCAGATAAAAATATCAATTCAACCGTTGTATAAAACCTTATGGGTGGAATTAAGAAGAACCGGCATTTAGATTTGGTGAAGAAATGGAGTGAAATAAAGATATGGAAACCAAGCTTTTATATATAGTATTACATTCCCTGAAAATTATTTTTGGCAAATACTTCTAAGTGATGCAATTTAACTGTGGACACCCTTTATTTACTGTCCTATTTTAGCACGCTAGGCGGATACTAGGTTACAAAAGAACGCAAACAATTACTCCAGTCCTGTGACCTCCTCTAAAGATTTCAATTATAAGGCAAACATAGCAAAAATGACCCATAAAACAGACAACAATTAGAGCTCCAAACAATCACATTTACGATCATGAACTACCGTTGTGTACTAGCAAGCAATTTCCGCTCCGAAAAAGCATAACTTCCGCCACATCTAAGTACCGCATGTGCGCTTGCGATCCCTGAAATCCTTTTCTGCCGCATCGCTGCTGTCACTGTCGTGCCGTTTATGCTGCTTCCGTTTGTTGTTCTCGTTGTTATTATCGGGGTCTTAATGTAATTAAGCTTTATTCGTTTACTTTATGGCGTGTGTTTAATTTGCTTTCCTCCAGCAATAGCTTCGCCATGGATGCCGTTTGGGGGAGGTCTGGCAGTATGATCCCGAATCATTGATGCCAATTGAATGGATACAAGCGAGCTGATGAGATTGCTGCAATAATAGTGGGCGTCCCATGGGGTGATGGAAGATGGAGTAATGTCGTTCGTTCGATGTTTCCCTTTTCTGAATTAAGAACGGATTCTGGAACAAGTGTGCGCTGGAGTTGTTCGGTTCATTAAAACTAAATTCTCGCGTAACATTTGAAAAGGGTCTATCCTCGTTGAATTTCTCGCTAAGCTCGCAGCACAGTTCGACAGAAGATGTTGTTAGCTTGCGCCTGAAACAACACACTCAATGGGAAATTGATTTGCATTTTCCGAAGGAGAAAATCGATGAAGATATTCGATCAACAATGACAATGCTCTTTTCTCGTGCTGCGAGAGAATTCTCAGAAACGAGTTTTTAAGTGAGCTGTTTGGTACATAAATTGACAGTAAATTGAGACCTTTCACTAAAATCCCATTAAGGTTTAAAAAAAAAAAAACCCTCACCATGTTCTTTGTTCAATCCAAAGTACAAAATCCCAATTGCACCTGCTACTTTTTTCGGCCCCAGCAGCGCTTCGCCTCCGACAGGCAATAAATTGCCGTTGTTTCCGGAAGTAAATGGAAACAACTTTCAACGTGGCAACTTTTCCACTTGCTTATACGTGGCACCATTCCGATTTATAGCCAAAATGTCAAAGTACAGTGGATTAATGTTCGGGAAATCCATTTCGAAGGTGCAAGCCCCCTGAATGGGAAAATTCCGTGCTGCAGCTATAAATCTGCGGGGAAAAAGAATAGGATTCTGCCATGTGACAATGTTTGAACCAATTTCTGTGGTTTCGTAAATCGAAACATCGCTCGCATCCTAAGGGCAATAAATCCCACGGCAGATTTAGGAGCCGCTCCCAACCAACAGAAGAGACTGCCACAGTCGGACATGTGTAATTGCTTTAATTGCTGATTTCGTTACGCTCGACCGGCTGCGAACCTGTTTCGGAAGACTGCGAGCGGGCATCGAAATTTTTGCTTCCGGCGAAAATTTGCATTATCTGTTAAATGTGCTTCGTCTTCCGTCCCGCTGCGAATGCGATGCATGCTAGGGTTCCCAAACGTTGAAATTCTTTATTTTTGCTTCCAAATCGAATCTGGTAACCCAAAGTTTGATAGATTTCTATCCACTCAGGAAGAAAGGCCTAACGAACCATCTCCCGGTTGGGACGCCGAAGGGCACACACATACCGTGGCGAGCCAATGTCGTGGACATAAATCAAAATCATCCATATCATTCCGGAACCCAATCTACGCCGTGGTAGTGGCGACGGACGGGATGGAATAATAATTATCGTTACAACTTATTCATTTTCCTCCGCCTCAATTAATAAACCAATACAACATATATTCGCTTACCTTGCACGGTCAGCTTGGCCGAGCCACTCTCCCGGGAGCCAACCATATTCTGCGCCAGACACTGGTACCGGCCTTCGTCGGTCGGCCGTACGTCACTAATCAGCAGATTTCCGCCGTCCACTATCCGGACCCGGGCCGGTTCCTTGCTGCTGCTGCTGGACCGAAAGTCGTCCAGGTCCAGCATGATTTCGTCCTTCTTCCAGCTGATGGTCGGCTCCGGATTGCCCTTGGGGGCGCCGCATTCCAGCAGAGCCGTCTCGCCGGCGGCCACCCGGGTGTCTTTGGGCTCCACCCGAAACTCGTCACGAAGCACTGGAAGGAACAAAGATGGAAGAAGAATTCTCGTTAGAACGAAGCGAAATTGAAATTGACATCCGTCGTCGTCGTTGTCTCGGTCGTTGTTGGACACGACTGACATTTGTAGAAACTAGATCACCGGCAACCACGTTCTACTTCGTTGAAGCGCACTGAACTGGTCGTCGGTCGGTGTGGCATGAGCGAACGGTTGTCATGTCGTGTATTAATTTGCATAATTATTTATTACAAGCCGGAGTAATCCAGGGCGACACTTTCCGCGTTCTGGAGGGTAGATGGTATTGCATATTTTATTTCGCCCATGGTGAGAGAACGCGATCGAAGTGGTGGCAATGCAATGCAATGAGATGTTTTGAAATAATAGTTGCCTGTAGTTGTACTTAGTATTTTGATAGACGACTCGATAAGATAAGTTATGCAAACACTCAAAAATTGGTATAGCTCGTATTAAATATGCTCAAACAAAATATTTGAACTTCTCAAAAAACAATTCAGACAAATTTTAAGAAAATCAGTTGACACGGTAGTTCTTAAGTGGCATGTATTAGGCATAAGAGAAATTTTTATAAGATTTCAGAAGATTTCTATGCACGCCCTTGGAAAGTCTACGATACTTCTGGTAAGGATCAAAACAATTTTGAGAATGTAAGCACTTTGATCATTTGATGTATGGTCTGTTAAGGCTTTAGCACGCGGCAGCTCGACTCAATGTTTTGGTTCGTTGTAAAGCTTAATCTTATCCTTGATTTGAGCAACTTCTTTCGATCGACTTTCCACTTCCACTTCATGAGGGCTTGGAGCCGTTTTCACATTCCCGAATATGGAGGTGTTTAGACAGCAGTCAAGGGATCTGTACCAAGGCGTCACAATATCAGCTTCAATCGATAAAGTTGATGTGACTAGGAGACTGCTAGCTTTCTTTTTCTGTTGAAGTCGAACAGCTTCGCAGCATTTTAGAACCTCATAGCGAATTCGTTTATGCGAACCCAAGCTTATTGATAGTGTGAACCTCAACCCGAGCCAGGTTACAAAAACAAACGTTCACATTAAAGTTTTACAGACAACAAGCACACCCAATATTGATACCCGATCCAGGTTGAAACTGAATTAAGTACAAATTCGCTCTCAGTTGGCGTCTACAAACAAATTTTCAATCGCTCTTTCTCCCGTTGCTTCATTGGTCTTTCTTTCAAGCTTCGGTGAAGCGAATTAGTGAAAGAGCGCTTGAATTTGATAGTTTCGTCTTTCATAAAACACACCATGACGTAGGGGAAATGGATGTTATGTCGGCCTAAATGCCCCTAATTTGGGCCCATACATAAATTCAGCAATCGGCTAAATTGTAAAATATCCATTAGTACCGTCCCAACGATGCGTTCCTCTAGATACAATTGATAAATAGCAGATTTTTAGTGATGTGCCCAATATTAGATCCAAAGGCCGACTGTAGAGTCATTTCCCCTATATGATGGAAAATGGAAATATATATTTAAAGTACTTCAAGATTACATATACTTAATTAAAAAAAAGTTAAGTTAAGTCATATTTAACGCATATTAAATAAATTGAAAAAGCGGTGATAAAGTTTAAGTGAAAGGAAATGAAAGCCATAATGAAGTTTCGTTTCAACTCGATAATCGACGTTACTTTCATTGAAAGCGATGAGCAAAACAACGACGAGAGAATCCACAGCCAGCGTTTAGTTCTAAGCGTGCTTCTTTTTTCGTTCCATGCTAACATTTTTTGTTTTATCTAGTTCGTTTATGTGTAAGGCTCAATCGCGTTAGCTTTACGGAGTCGATAATTCATTGTTCTTTGTTTGTAACAAAATTCACTTAATTCTATGTTTAGTAGGAGTTGGGCCGAATAGTCGCGGGTTACCCGAGGTTAGAGGGATACATTGTCGAAGGATAGTAAAAGGGGAGGAGCTTGGGTGTAGGGTTTCGTTGTCTCATCAGAGCAATGTCGCCAGTATGAACGGTAGTGTGGTTCTAGATTCATCTGGAGTTCAACCGGCTATGGTGACGACGATGAGACTCATCGAGATGGGGGACAAGACAAACAAAAATTATTAAAGAGGTACAAAAGACAAACGAATTAAATTATATACCAGACATTTGCAGAAACACATAAATCGACTGCATATAGCAGATATTGCGGGTACCCAACGCGTCTCTGATAGGGATATAGGGCTGTCTTCCTTGGGCCTCGAGGGGATTTAAAACGAGGGGCACGCAATAACTTTTAACTCCTACGCAAGCCTTTTTTAAGTACAATAATTACAGTTAACTACATGATTAATTACTTTAATTACGAGCGTCGGAAATTTTTTGATTTAATTACTTTTAAGTACAAATTTCAGCTTTAATTACAAGTCGCATAAATTAAGTACATTAACTCCATTAATGTACCACGAGAAATGTACTTAAATTTCCCCCAGCGTACCGTTAGACCCTTTCGTTATTGGCCCGTGAAACAAAAATTTCACAGGCCCTTTTGCTACGTTAAGGATAATTTTAGTTGGTGATTGGTGCCAATTCACATACAACGATCGGTTCGTGATTGGAAATGTAGTCGGATTTCAATACCGCCGAGGTGTTGGCAGGGCAATGAACTATATCCTGGATCACGCCCCTGTAAAAGCACCGGAGAATGCGACAATGAAAGGAATGTTTGTTTGTGCTACCTGGTTCAACCTAAGAAATAACGAATTTAATTTGGAGGATGCGAACGAAAACAGAATTACAATAGAAAATTATGTTAACCTTTGCGTGCCTAACGTCTAAATTTGCATAGATTTCAAAATTCAATTAGCTCTTAAAACATAATTTCTCAATATTTTTCTTTACAACAAATTGCATTTTGTCGGAAATCTATTGAAGTTTCTGAATACATCTGAAAATATTTTGATCAATTCATGGTTCCGGAGTTATTTCGGTTCCCGTTGGGGTCGCTTTTGGTCGGCATTCGGCTTTATTGTTCTGTAATAAGTATACACACGATGAACATCATGTTTTTTCTCTCAAACGATGTAATTGGACCAGTGGCAGCTATTTCGATGGTTCACAATCACATTGGGCATCCCGAAAATGTTCCGGTGCCCCGGGGAAGTGACCAATTCTCAACAAGAACCAAAACCCATCATGCGACATATCAAACTTCATGATTTTACAAATCTTGGCCAGTAATGGCCTTATTGAGAGTTCATGGTCACACTAGCCCTCCCAGACATGTTCCTGTGTCCCCGGGAAAGTGACCGATTCTCCACAAGAACCAAAACACGTCATGCGACATATCAAACTTTATGATTCTGCTGAACTCGGCCAGTAATGGTCTTTTTGAGAGCCCACGATCCCATTGGCCCTCCCTGGCATGTTCCGGTGTTCCCGGGTATATTTTCAATTATCGACAAGAATCAAAATCCTTCGTGCAACATATCAAACTTTATGATTCTGCACGGCTAATAATGGTCTTAGACAGTCCACAGTCCCATTTAATTGTCCCCCTCCCCCCCCCCCCCCGTTAAATATCCAACTCCCAATAATAACCGGAACCCCTCGTGTGACATATCAAACTTCATTATTTTACGAAACTCCGTCGGTAATGACCATATTAAGAGTTCAAATTTGCTATCCCAGACAGCTGAACTGACACTGGAGCTGGTGAATACTTAGGACATTCACACGCTGAGCTACTTCCGGGAAAAAATCGCAGCTGGTATGCAATTGTCTTCCCAGCACGGATAACTTGAGTGTGTCAAGTTGATCGGTAACGATCATTTCGTGTCCTGTGCACATGGGACTCATCGTTTCCTATCGGTTTGGAGTTCTGCCCATAGTATTGTTTGGTTGACCCATGGAAAGACGAACAATGGGGAGGCGAATTTCATAAATGCTATCGCGTCAATTCTGAATACGGATGTGATCATATGATGGCGATAATACAAATAAAAGCACACAATTGGTTTGAATCATCTTAGTGTCTGCAACCAAAACCTGATTATAATTCTCTTGTTAATGAACTCTGCCTTAAATCTGTTAATTATGATTAGTATAATAATATTAAGTTTGAAAGAAATATTGAAATAATCGAAGAATTCACGCGTAACATCAGAAAATTAATGCAAATGCATATACATCTTCCATTGAATCTGTTAATTCAGGCACAAGCTAATATCATCATCTGTCGAACTGTGCTGCGAGCATGGCTTAAAATTCGAACGTTTTTTGATCGGGAGGAAATTTGCTCGAGGAATTGCTTGAATTTAAGGAAATGTAAAATTTAAAGACTTGTCGTCACAACTAAGAGATTCCCATTTCATTTGTATGGCAATCACGGCCCTCATTTTGAGTATCACTTCCTTTCACTGTATATTGTCGCTAGAGTTGTAAACCGATATAACCCACTCGTGGCAATCGATTTTATTCTAGTTCTGCATTAAAGCGCATTATTCAACGAATACAGTGCACTAGATACGACATTATGTTGAACGTACAAAACGAAAGTGAAATCGATTGTCGCGAGTGGATTATTTCAGTTTCCAACTCTAGCATGGTGCTCCAAGAAATTTAGTATAAGTATTCGCAGAATTGGTCATGTTTGTAGTCTAGTAAAATGCGTTAATATGCGTATTTCAGGGTGTAAGAAGAGTTAAGAGATAAATTCATTCGAGTATGTGTTAAGGGTTTTCTTCATTTTTTTTTAATACTTCAAGAATAAGGATTTTGGTACGTTTTTAATTAAATTTGTGTAACTTTAATTACATTAATTACAGAAAATTATTTTTTAATTACATTAATTACGTAATCAAATTGAAGTACGTGTTTTAATTACAGTAATTACACTGGCACTGCTTTGATTACGCGAAATTAAATTTAATTACATGAAATACTTAATTTTCATTTTTAATTACTTAATTACATAGTTAAACACCTTGTACTTTAAATCCAACGTAGTCAAAAAGGCTATTGCGTGCCCCTCGATTTAAAAGTCACTCT